CATGTAGCTGGGGACTCAAAGAATCCATAATATTTTGTGAATTAAAGTAATATATACAGACATGATTAAGAATTATTCTGGTAATAAAGATAATCACAGAATGGTTAAGGTTGGAAAGTGCCTGCTCCAGCAGGGCCACCTACAACCAGCTGCCCAGGACCATATGCAAACAGCTTTTGAGTATCTCTTAAGGACAGCTCCAACCTCCCTGAACAAATTCATTTAATTTAAAAATTTAAGCAATTTCTTGAACATAGATTGAACAGAGAGGAGTGATAAACAGTAAAATCAGGCCAACTTTTTCTTCATTATTTGCAAAGCAGAATGTTACTGTTTTGTGACAATCCCATATCTAGTCTGCAAACCCACATGAGCACTTTCCACACTTTCCTTGACTTCAGAGCAGAAATCATTGATACTCAAGAAGTACACAGATTTCCAAACTACCTCCCCTTTCCCAGTGTAAGGTCTTCTTTCCAGGGTGGTCTGTCTACCAAGGAGGGGAATAATGACAATCTCTTGTCAAATTTTTTCTTCCCCTCAGTAGTTTCTTCCCCTTGTGTAGCTGTGTAAGAGCTCCTCACTAGTTTAATGCCATTTAGCAGAACACAAAATGTAACTTCCCTGAATGACAGCACAATTCCATTACTGTAAAAGCTACTTGAGACATGTTGCTGTGGACTGGGACAGTGGTAGGGTGGGACAATACATATTTTTAATTCTTCATTAGGAAAATCCTTTACCCATGGTATGAAATATATATCTCCTAGAATAAATGAAATTAACTCTGCAGCCATTGTGTTTCCCTTTCATAGTGTAAAATATGCAATGTAGAATTGATGAGGTATGTATTCACATCCTTTCAAGGACAGGCAGAACAGATCTTCCTTGAAATGCAAAAGAGAAAAGGCAGGCATGCTGATTCCCCATATTGGATGCTATAAGGAAGAGCAGTTCCAGAATTAGGGAACCCAGTATTAGATTAGGCAGTACCTTGGAAATTTCAATACTAGGATTCAATTTCCTGCTAAGCACCTGACTTCAGTCTGGGTGAACATTCACAAGTCGTTTAGTCACACACAACTTCCATGCTCTTATATTTATAATTAGAGTATTATTACTTGGAGAGACTACATACATAAAAGGTTTTCAGATATCCGCTATTCAATGGTAAAATACATGAGTTGGAGAAATATGAGCAATGCATACCCACACTTGGCACAGAAAAATATGCTTTTGTGTGGATTTTCTTCTTTTCAGTTTTAGAACAGATCTGTTTTAGAGCTCAATAGGATTTTAAACAAACTTGATTCATTATGCTATTTTTAAGTCTGGAAATTCCATTTCATCTTCCTGAGGTTTCTGATTTGTCAAAGTTTATTTGAGATCAAACCAAAAACCAGTACATTTCACTAAAATAACAGTTTTGAAAAAAAATATGATTATATTTTTTAATTAAAAGAACATATTTTAAATTTAATTGAATTTAAGCATTCCACCCTCCACGGTTTATTCTGCAGTTCTTTGTTCTGTTGGAACATCCCATCTGTTTTGCTACATTTAGTATTGAAGTCAATTTGTTTTACTAGTCATGTTAGTTTATTCCCATTTTTCACATAATATGGATAGCAAATGGGAGGACAAATGGATCAATTGCATTTCATGCATATGCCCTTTTCACCCCTTCCTGTGTTCCCCTAGAAATGACAGCTTACATGACAGGACAGCCTAGTGCAGCAAATGCTTAGTGACATTGGCTTTTTATCTCTAGCCTCTTGGCTGAAGCATCTTTTAAAAATATTTTTTTATTGGCTTTTTACACTGCTTATCACCGTGATAACTGATGTCTGCATCAACTGAATCAACGTTCCTGCAGGAGTTTTGCAGACTGAAACTGGAGACAATGAGGAGAATAAGGTAAAAAATTCTTATAAAGCATGCCATTTCCACAGAAATTCAGCTCTGATATTCAACTGAAATAGTTCTACTACTCTCTGATAATCCTAATTGTTATTTTTCAGGAAGAATAAATGGCTTGCCAGAAGTCTGACAGAAGATCAGTGGCATGGTTAAAAAACAATCTGCAAGTCCTCTTAGTCAGTGCCTTCCCCACATGGTTTTTCTTTGGAGTCTACTTTTTACATTAACAGCTGGTTTTATAGTTCTATTTATTGCTTTTGTAAGCCCCAATTAAGTTGCCAGTGCTGGATATTTGTTTTTATTTTATCCATTTGTAATAGGCACTTATGGCATAGCACTGAAATTAAGGAAAGCAATTTTACTCCAATGCTACTTGTCATAATTGAATCTGTACACTACAATGACACAAGGAAAAATGACATGGCCCAGATCATATCATATACATAATGCTAAAATCTCTTAATCCAAAATGGGCACCCTATTCACATTTATTATGTGAAACAAGTTCCACTGTGTTCATACAAAACAGAAAAGGTTGAAGCAGCAGAACCCACACCAGGACATGGTCTCTGGGGTGGCAAAGGCACTCTTGAGGGAGATATGAATTCAGGATGTTACTCCAAACTCAGAAAATCAGATCTTTGCCTTATCAGCTGATTATCCTCATTTTGGACCACTTGCTATAATGAGATATCTTTTTGTATGCGAGTCCCCATATCTTTATTGTATGTGACTGTGACAGGGATGCTCTAGGAGCACTTGCCACATCTCATCTGAAGGCAAGATGGTTAAAGAATAATACATTACTCAGGGATGTTTTATAGTTCAGTCTACAAGCAGTTTGGTCTTTAGAAACTTATTCCAAAAAATGCCAAAAAGATACAGATAGGTGTTTAAAAGGGATTTAACATTCTTGAACATAAGAAAATCATGTGCTTGAGTATCAAAATTGGCAGTGAGGAGTCTAGTAGTTTCTTAAACTATTAAACCTTCAAAGTCTCTAAGGTGTCAAACAAGAGTCCTATTGGTTGTAAAACACATAATATTGAGTAAGTGAAGCAGGTAATGACAAAAGTATCAGATATCTGAATACCTGTGTTCAGTTTGTTAACTGTTTACCTCTATTTTCTGTCATATTTTTTGGGTTGGATTAAGTTTTTTTGAGGAGAAGGAAGAGTTAAATATACTGAGAAAATGGACAAAAGTTATCCTAACAAAAGTACATTATACAGTTATCTGGGATAAAATTCAGCATGCCTGTACAGAAAATGTTCAATAGTAAGGTAATTGTTTTATATCTCCATTTAGTGTGATGTGACACCTCTGTGTGAATAAAGGTACATGGAGAAGTAACAAAAATTCAATATGCTTTACAGAGGGTAATCCATATTGGGCAGATGCACCTCTTAGGGGGCAAAAACCCCAAGAGAAATAAAAAAAAAACAACTTGTTCTTCTAAGGGACACAAATTTGTTGGACTAGGGACATGAAACATTTGAGTTTCATAAGATGTGATTTTCTTTTATGTAACTTATAAATAAAATAAACTTTATTTGATTTGTAAGTAAAGTGTCTGTATTGTTAAAATAAAAGCAAGGAGGTTATTCATGTTTGTAAGAGCCAATGCTCAAATACATTAACATGAAATGGAATAAAAAAAAAAAGACAGGATAATAGAAACAGAATAAGAACTTTTATTTATTTAAAACAATTTCACTTACCTTAATGCTGTGTAAATATTAAGAGGCTCAAAAGGAAAAAAAGATATAAATTGAAATATCTTTATTCTTTGAAATATGTAAAAGGTCATAATTTGAATCTTCTATTTAAATTTCTTTGAATTGGCAATTTTTTGCTTATAATGGGAAGGCTGGTGACACATATGCATAATCTTTAGTATATCTTTTGAAAAAAACAAACCTTAATATTCTAACATGAATTATATTAATACCAAAATTGAATTAATATCAAATTATTATAACTTATTAGTGGCTCATATGCTGTACAGCTGCACACACATGGAGAAATCCTGAATTGTGATGAACATATCCTCTGCTGAGGAGGTAGATAATCAGAACTTTACAAACAAGAGATTTGATTTCAATTTATTGTTGCACTTGAACAAAAAATAAGTAGGAATAAAAGTATTTTCTGGAATATAGATACTTTATCCACAGTAAGGAAAAGGCCATAGTCAACTATTAGCTTACTTTTTTATGGTCTTACATTTATCTGGACTGCCTAACAAATTTCTTCAATGGACACCAGCAACATCTGGAAGAGGTGTGGAATAAAGGAGGCTGCATAAGAGGGATGTTCCCATTTTTAAATTTTAAACATTAAAATTTATTACTTTTAGCATTACATTTAAAATGTAAGCATTTAAAAAACAGTTTTTACCCAGAATATAATTAGTGTGCTCAAGCAGGTACAAATCCTGGAAAATGCTGCTGCTCCCACTGCCTTCAACAGACTGACCTGTGGAAGGTCATGAAGCAAATCACTGTCAGAATTTGCATCATGACTGCAAGGTCAGGATCATGGTCCTTTCCATGGATGTGACAGCTTTTCAAACTCTTTACATGCTAACCACTTATGAAATTATGAAGAGCTAAATAGACTGCACTTGTTAAGAAGGATGAGTTTTCTCCTTTTTGATTCTCACTTTGTGGAGATGAACACATGGATGAAATTTTATTCTTGCAAGCAATATATCTTTATTAAAGGCAATTATTTCAAACAGGTAGAACCATCAAATTAATTTAAAACACTGAATAATAATTTAAGATTTCTCTTCAACCATGGGAATCAGATTTATTATAATGGTGTTAAAATTAAGAATCTGCCATCAAAAATTCAGTTTAGAAAACTAAATCACCAGAATACACAACTACAAAAATTACATGAAAATGGAGGAATCTGACCACTGTGTCAACCTGTTGTTGTGGTTTAGCCTCAGTTGTGAAGGAGGTCACTCACTCTCCCCACCAACAGAATCAGGGCAAGAATCAGGAAGGTAAAAGGGAGAAAACACAGGATGAGATAAAGACGGTTTAATAGGTAAAGTAAAAGCCACACTCTCAAGCAAAGCAAACCAAGGAATTTATTCATCACTTCCCATGTCAGGAAAGTGTTTGGCCATGTCCAGGAAAGCAGGGTCCCATCACATGCAGTGGGACCTGGGAAGACAAAATGTCATCACTCTAAGCGTGACCCACGTACTTCTTCTCCCCCAGATTTATATGCTGAGCATGTTGCTGTATGGGATGTGATATGCACTGGGTCATTTGGGATCAGCTGTCCTGGCTGTGTCCTTGTGCATACCACCCTCCTTACTAGTGGGGTTGGTAAGGAGCAGAAGAGGCCTTGGCTCTGTGTGAGAAAAGCTCATCCATAACGAAAACATCCCTGGGTTATCAGCATAGTTTTCATCATGAATCCAAGACACAGGGCAACATTAGGTACTGCGAAGAAAATTAATTACATCCCAGTCTAAAAACAGCACACATTCCTAGTCCAGACTAGGAATTACTGGTGTCATGTGGAAGTTGGAGGGTGATATGATTTTTATGACATTCCACTTCTGAAACACTGTACAAAGAATACACCATTATTCTGGGATAAGAATAATATTACTATCATCTGAGGAACCAGTACAGCACTAGCAAAATATTCTTTACTTTATATGAGCTTCATTCACACTGAAGCCTCAGAACTTTCTGCAGTCATTGAAGATGAGAGCTGGAGGGTAAAAGATGACAGGAAATTATTAGTATGTGCATGTAGCTATCAGTGTGCATGACACAGATAGAAATTAGGTATTTTTCCTTTTTACCATATAAATGGAATAACCTCCTATTAAAATTATGCGTAAAACATGTTTTAAAATAATCTATGAAACACTGGCACATTAATTTTTACAAGTTTTTAATAACACAGGCTCAGCTCATTTGCTGGCACGTAGTTATGTAGAACCACTTACTTATCTGGGATACTGTATATCCAGTTGGAGACAGCAGATACAGTTCGAGACTTAGGGAAGATCTTTCTATCTGGACTTGATTAAACAAGCATTATGCCTTGAGGTATTCCAAATGACACCACCTACAGATACCCTACATGTAAAAAAGTGCATCAACTCACTCACCATACTCTCTGAATTACTCTATTCTTCACTGGCCATATTAACTGGAGACCTGATCTCATTTCAGACAGTGCAGGCTGTCCCACTTGATGTCACTAGAATATCAGTAAGTCTGAGTAACTCCTATAACATCTGTGTCATACCTGGAAGGCCCATTTGTTTGTTTATATACTCTACAATATCTTAATTGACGGTAGGTATCTGTTCTTTGTAAACAGCATCCCCCCTCCCTAGGGTTTAGTTGGCTGAACAGCTCTCTAAGCACCTTTTGGAATATTGACTGTAGCCCCACAGTTTAATATAGTCATCACACACTTAAACACTCACACGTGTCTACATTTTGCTATTTTAAATTTAACATTAATTCCAGCATAGAAGATACTTGGTTCCACAAGTTCCAGACTGAGATATGTAATCCACTTACATATTGCAAGCCCTAGGAACATTTCAGAGGATCATGAGATGGGTGTGATAAACCATAAACCCATAAACCTCCATAACACCCCCAGTAACCTTCATTCTTCTTGTATATTATTTTTTCTCTATCCAATCTTCAACAGATAGTACTTACATTGTTTCCATCTGCCTCCCTCCAAATAAATGCCTATTAAACAATTGTTATCATTGCTTTCCAATGTTTATTAGTACAAATTGTGAAAAAGGGAAAATGGAATTCAGTATTTTACATATGTGCCTTTCAATGCCTGTCTGCATCAGAGTCATTTAGTCTAAAAATGTGAGTCTGGTCATTCAAATTGTCCACCTGAGTGCCACAAAAAGAGGATACCCATTTCTCCCTAATGAATCCACTGTTATGCTTACTAGCATGCTTGTGGATATCACTTTATGCTATTTGCAAGGCAGCCCACATACCTGCTGCTTTGAATAGAGCCAAGAGTAATGGCAGAAGAGGCCAGCACTCGATAGTACTGAGACTGGCACCTTCCAGGGAGGACCTGATAAAGGTCTAACCTGAGTTTGAGAGCAAGAAGTCTTCTTGTAGAGGGAGCCAAGTGAAAGGATAGAGTACCTGCCACTATATGACATGCACTTTATCCAGGGAAGATTAAAAAACTCATTATCTTTTTCCAGTTTTTTTCCAGCAGATTTTTTTTTCTTATAATTCTTCCAATCTATGATTAAAAGATCTTAAGAGCAAGCACACCCCAAGTAGTATCCCCTGACATTAATTCCACCCAGCATTCCAGAAGTCACACAAGATACTGTACAAAGTATCTGTCTCTTGCCTCATTCTGAAATACCCCACCAAAATAGAAAAGGTGGTCTAAGAAGGTTTTTCCTGCACTTAATAGAGGTCCCCAATATAGCTCTTCGTCAGAGACAATGAATTACTCTGAAAAATGCAGAAAGAAACCAGTCAAAAAGAAACACCCTTCCAATTTGATCTCTAAAGCAAATTAAAGCAAAATGGATTCTCTGAACAAGAATTTAGACAGAATTGTTCACAGAGAGCTAGCATCAAAGGATTTTCCCTTCTGAACCCCAGACTTGTTGCAGTGCCTGATTTGAAGATGACCCAACTGAGGTTTTTTTCTCAGACAAATACGTGTATTGAATACAGTGAATCAATCATCTGCAGATCCTTTGAACTCCAGCTATTCCAGGACAGAACAGAAGAGGCTCCCAGACCCTTTGCAGAATCATGAGCACTTCTGGAGATTAGATAATTTCTTTTTGCTTGGAAGCATTTGTTTGGAAGAATGGCTATTAACAGACCAGAGCTTCTCTATTCAGAATTACTGCAACTTATGCTTATGGTAAATATAAAGGTTCTTTGGATCTGAGGTTTGTAAGATTGAAATGCATTCTTGAAAATAACTTGTCTTGCATTTTCAGAGAGAATAGTCTCTCAGGAAAGAGAGAGAGAGAGGCCAAACCATGACCAATCTGCCTGCAGGATAAATTCCCATTCATGGAGCCCTTTACTCTGTCCTCCTTAGCTCTCTTTCAGTTCACAGATGCATGTCCCCTCTGTGCTTGCCTAAAAAGTTTATGAAAGCAGTTTAAACCTAGTGACATGAGCAGGGTAAAAGAAGAAAACAAATATATTTGCTATGAACTTTCTACAGGTTCTGAGAGCTGTGCTCTGATGAGGTTCAGAAGTCAGTGTCTGATCAGTAAGACAATACCTGCTCAAACTGCACTACAGGAATGAGAAGGGCAGGCAAAGAAAGACAGCAGCATGGACACCAGATTTGTGTAGCTTGGGAATATTTTGAATCCCAATACATGCTCTTTCAGTTTGAGGATATTATATGTTCTTGCACAGTAGATTCCAGCAACCTTAAGAGCTCTTCAGAAAAGTTGTGGTGGCCAGAACAAAGTTTATGATTGCTGAGATAAAAAGATGAGAAGGGTGATGAATCAGGTAAAAAACTGGGTAGGTGTGAGGAGCAGCTATAAAGGACAATGGGACATAGAAATGTGTTGAGGATGCAAGGTTCTCTGAGGAGTCACCTTGAGGCTCACATGCAGATTTTTGAGTTAATACTCCCAGACTGGATTTTTAGCAGCACTGATAGAGCACAGACTCCATGATGAAGAAAGGGGGATAAAATATCTGTAAGGCAAAGTGATAGAGGGGAGAATGATACAGAAAAGGGGTACAGCCATTTTAGTCATAAGTGTCCATGCAGATGATTCTTAATTTGCCATCATAGTGAAGACTCAGATTCTGAGAATGAGAACCTGGCCTGTGATCTTTTTGTGGTACAGGAAGAATTCCCACTTCTTTGGGGGCACTATCCCAGAGGACTAGCAGAACACAGCACGGTGCATGTAGCAAAGCTGTGAGACTTCATGGTGTTAAGGAGCAGCACAAAGGGTGCACTGATTTTCTTTTCTCTTATACGGAATAGATAAACTTAGAGCAATGAGGGCAGACAAAGAATTATCAGAAGAAGTTCAAGGATGAGGATGTGCACTGCACAGTAGCCCTGTAAAGTCTGGAAATTGACTTTTTTTTGTAGCTTTTCAATAAAGCATTCTCATTGTAGCACTCTATACTGGTTACTTGGAGTACCATGTCTCAAAATTTGACCCCAAAAGTATTTTCTGACACTCAGAACCCATACGACAACATAGGCTTAGACAGTTGGATACTCGTAGTACTTCACCACTTTTCAGAGGAAGGAGTTCTCCAAAGATTCTCCAAAGTCAAATTACCATTTCCTGGTAAATATGCAATAAAATGGATTTTTTTGTTGTTTTTTTTTTTAATTGCGGATGTGGCAGGGTTTTTTCCTCACACCTTTTGAGGCAGATTAAACACAGGTTCATGAAACTGTATAAGAGCATGAATGTATAACAGCATGAAACTGTATAAGAGTATAAAGAGATTTATTGTGCAATGCACTGAACAGAGCCCCACCACCCTTTCTGGCTCAACAGACAGGCAGCAAAAATGTGACAGAAGCCAATCCTTTGTGTATGCTTGCACCTGCACCATTCATACTGTTACAAGTTGTTAGTGTGGTACTGCTCCTCCTTTCTGCAAGTGAATTTATGCTCTCTTGTATGAAATTGTTTACCCTGTGGCATTGCCAACTCTACCCTTTTAAACCAGATGTTGTAGTCAGACCTTATCTGATAAACTAGGTAGTCCTTCAGTCCTAAAATATTCAGTTACCATATGAAATTCCCATTCATTCCTCCCTTTTGTGATACTTATTTGCATGCATCACTAAATATTTAAAATTCTTCCTTATGCTTATTATCCATTTATAAAACCATTAGTTTTGCCTCACTTTGGGTTTTTTTTTTTATTCTCTTCTTAATTTGTTTACAGCCCAGTTTGAGGCAACATAGAGTCAATTGCACTCACACTTAAGCTATTTTAATGACTAGTAATAGAATAATGGTCCACTTCAAAACTACTGTTCTGTTCTATATCACTGACACCTAAAGACCTTCAGGTTTTTTTACATATTTGTAGATTTTTAATATATGGCTCTGTAGCTTCTAGCATGTTCCCACTCTTTAGAACAATAGCTACCCTTTCTCACATATTATACCACACTCTTGAAATTGTTTTTATTTTCAAGGAAAATAACTTCTAACCAGGACATTCTGTTTTGCACCAGCACCTGGGCCAAAATAATATGATACTTCATAGACATAGCAAAATATAAGGCTAAGAACCCTTGGAGGGGCTCCAATGGGGCAGATGCAAGGGTGGGTTACCAGGACAACTGTTCTATTGGATGTACTTGCCAGAGATACTAATCAGTTAAACTTATAAAAATTGCAAAAATTTAATGCTGTGCATGTGCATAGGTATAATATATATATCCAAAAGATTTCATTGAAAAACAGCTCTTTATGTTATCAAATTTAATATTGTTTGGAAGGTTTTTCTTTCAATTTTCAGAAACGTCATCTCACATCATTTCTGAGGATGGGGATAAGGGAGACATTTTCCCAGACACGGTAAAGGAGTATTGTCCAGGTCAGATAGTGTAGCATTTGCATATTGATGGGGGGATTCTGTGATTAGAAATCACATGCAAATCATTCACCTTTTTCCTTGTACTCTGTCATTAATATTGTTGCTGCTATAGTTTGTTGTGTTATTTCATTGCTGTTTACAGTAAATCGTTCTTATCTCAACTCATCACCTTTACCTTTTGAGCCTCCAATTCTCTCTGCCCAGCCCCCTATCAGAGGAAAGGGCAGGAGAGAATGAGCAAGTGGCACATGGTTTGGAGTGGTTTCAGAGGGAACACTAAGTTGGAGAATACCATTCCTAAACCATATCAGCTTCTACCTGAATCTTCCTCATTTGATGGCAACATCTACAGAGACAGGATTCCATATGTAACTGAATGCTGTCTCATACCTATAAACCTTTCCTCGATCTTCTCCTTCAATAGTCATATAAAGTCTATATTGCTCCCTGAAAGAGTAGATATGTACATAGCCAGAAGTCTGTAAGGTTAGTGGAATTTTCCCAGACATGGCATAATTTAACAAAGAAATTACTTTTTTCCCCCTACTCTTCACTACAGTAACCAACAAGAAAATGCATAAAACTTAAGTCTAGCATCTAACTAAAGATTTTAAAATGTAAATCAAATGCCCCCTATTAGCAACATAACGAAGAATACAACACAGCACAACTCATCTTGATCAAGTGGGTTCATACATATATATCACAGAATCAATTAGACTGGAAAAGACCTCTGAGACTGAGTCCAACCTATGACCTAAATGCCTTGAACTACATGCCATGTGCAGTCTTAAACACCTCCAGGGGTGGTGATTTCATTACCTCTCTGGGCAGCCCATTCCAAGTCTCAATCACCCTTTCTGTGCAAAAATGCTTCCCAATGTCCAGCCTAAACCTTCCTTGGTACAGTTTAAGACTCCTCTCATCTTGTTGCTGGCTGCCTGGGAGAAGAGACCTTCCCCCACCTGCCTACAACTTCTTTTCAGGGAGTTGCAGAGAGCAATATGGTCTTCCCTGAGCCTCCTCTTCTCCAAGATTAAAACCCCCTTTTCCCCAGACACTCTGCATAGGACATTATTTTTTTTTTCCTTTGGCTTTCTATGTAATCCAAGTAAAACTGTAGCAATGCAGTAGTGTAACAGATGCAGACTTTCATGACAGCAAGTATATATGTGCATATAGAAATATATCATGTAAGTCTTGTTTGGCTTGCAAACAACTGTTCCAAGCTACATTGTCTCAGACTTCAGTTTCAATTTTTTCAGTCTCAGCTGGTACCTTGGTGTTAATGTTTGCTGCAGTTCTGGGGGGAGTTATCAACAGTCACACAGAACTTTCTGTAATCTCATGTCTTGTCATATGATTGTCCAGCTCTGCTGCTCTTCTTTGACAGAGGTGTCCTATCCTTTGGCAGAAGTGGACCAATTTCTGATCTTACTCACCTTGGCTGTTCCAGAGTTTCCCTGAGTTTCTTGAACACACCATTTGATACAGTACACAGCTCCTGATCCTGTAAAGACACTGCAGAATACAACACATCTTTTGCAAGAGTAGCCAGCTGAGTGGACTGCACATGCAGGTGTAGGAATCAAAGAGGGGGAGCTATAGGTCTGCTATCAGGAGATCTCCATGTGTGATTTAAGTGTAATACACAGTCAGAGGGAAACCTTGAGCCCTTTCTTTCTGAGGGTAGTCCTTGTAATTTGTTCAGATATTCAACAGAAGCGTAGACATTGGGTTAAGAGCTGCAATACTTAATGTTGTTGGAGAACCCTTTAAAGCAACTCACTTGGCAGCAGCATCAACATATGCAGTGCCAAGACTTACTTCATCTAATGCACCTATGTGAGAACAATGCATTACAGAGATGGTAACAGCAAGCATAATTGCATATACTAACACCATGATGAGGGTTCCAGGAGAAAATCAAGGTCCAGAGGAGGTAATAAATCCACAGTGTTGTTATGATCTTGTTATAAGAGATACCTCTACTCAAATTAAGGGGCAAGCTAGATCATATACCAAAGTCAGTATTGTAGATTTTATTAACAGTAAATGTGAGGCAAATAGATAGAAAGAAATAAGAAGAGCAAAGGGTGGGAATGGGAGAGAGAGAAGGAATAGGCAAAAGCCATCACCACAAGGTGGATTCCTGCAGTATCCCACTGGTCCTTCTTGACCCTGGTCTTTGGTGGTGGGGGTCCCTCTTCTGGAGGTACCACTTTTTATACAGTCCAGTCTCAGGTATTCACAGGGTGTAGATGCCATTCCCATGACTTGAGATGGCATCTGCCTAAGCACTTACTTCCTTTCCCACAGTTTTCCACAGTGACAATTTTTGTCTGGCTGTTAACGTAAGCTTTACCTCTGTTAGGCCTGGAAATAGCCTTTCCCTGCTGGGCTATCTGCATTTATTTCAAGTTCTATTGTGATTGTTTATCTTATGGGGACAGTGTTTCAAGACATAACTTCATTCTATAGTTCCTCACAAGTGTTCCCAGATCTGACCTTAGAATGACAAATCTTAAATGCATGCAATGAATCAATATGGACATTGACAGTTTTTCTTGATGTGCAGGTTCATGCTTAAGTGAGTGCAATGAACTCAGTAGGTTGGGACTTAACTATAGGGAAGGAAAATATTTTGAGAATTTTGAACTGTGAGAAAACAGCACATCCTGAAAGTAGTTTGCCTCATCTGTCTGCAAGAAGAGAAAATCCTGGGCTGAATTAGTAAAACAGCAGAGATTCTGGAGTCAGTTGGCATTTTCATTAGGAAGTTTTATGACACAAATACTTGATCTTTTGCTTGCAGAACTGCAGCTTCTTTTGGGATGCTTTGTGCCAATGTGCTATCAGGCAAAGCACACAGAAGATGGAGTGTGCACTTCTGGAAAGCCACCAAAGAGGAAAAATTTACCAGAGGATTGTCCATATACTGAACCAAGAAAAAGGAGTGTAACACAAACTAGGTATCATTTTTAGCTCAGAAAGAAAAACAGTATGGGATTCACAATATCTTTGATGAAGCCTGGTCCAGGTATACTATTGTCATGGTAAATAAAGGGAAACAGAAAATGTAAATTGAGGTAATGTGGACAGAGAGAGAGGGCAGCAGAAGATAGACACAAAAATTAGGGTTACTGAGATGGAGCTTGTAATAGCCCCAGGTTTAGGAAAAATGGGGTGACTCATAATAATAAAAGCATTAACTTTTCACAAATCTTGGACAAATCTCCAGATTTGTCTTTCTTGTTCATCAAATTTTCCCTCTTTGGTGATGAAATGTGTGTGTGATAGAGTGACCCTGAGAGGCTTAATACCTGACACCATAGAGAGCTATCAGAAGGCTGCTGTGTTGGATGGGACAGGAACAAATAGATGATAATTGGTCAGAAAGAAAAATTTTTACACCTCTTCAGGAATAAGAGACATCTCTCTATTTACCTCTTCCAAATAGTGCAAAAGCAACACATTCCTACATCTTACTCAGCATTGTTAATTTATACCTAAATTAGCATTTCTGGATGAGCCTGTTGTAGAGAAGAAGCTAATAATTTCATAAATAACTGTATCAGCCTTACTGATTACCTGTATTAGATAGCTAGAAGAAGGAGACCTGACCTTCTGACAAGGTAGATAGTAAGTTTTCACGAGACAACACAAATTACAAGAGACATGCCGCTACCTTAAGTTTCAAGAAAAGTGTGCTGTCAGATAGATTTTTTTGCACTTTTCATGCCAGGAAAAGGAAAGAAAGAAAAAAAAAAAGCTTACTGCTAGTGAACTGCAGCCAAAATATGCAGCTTTAGTATCTCTTGTGATTTTGCTGAGCTCTAGACAACACCTACATAAGTGAATTGGTTTGCTTCATCAAGTCAAGTTACATCAATCAGCAGTTTCCTTATTACATTAGACCCTTAGGATTACACACAAGTTAAATGCCTTTCTGCTCCATTCATGAAAATCTTTCCAAGAGTACCTTACAAGCATAAGTAATTTAAATGCATGAGCACACTTTGTGTAGAGAAACTTACTAGAGGAAACACCTTTGTAGCTACTGACATTTGTATCTTGAACCTGTCCAACAAGTAGCAAGGCAGACTCTTACTGACTGAGGGGAATAATGTTCAAAACACACCTTTTAATAGGATCTGAATCGCCATGACGGTGAGAAATACAGCAGAGACACAAAGAAAAGCAGTATGGGGTGATGTAATCCTCAAATCTGAGTAGTGTGTATTATTCTCCTACCTAGATATCCTTTCAAAAGGCTGGATGGACAAGTAGTTAACAATGGAGCTTCTCTGCAGCGTTTCTTAGCCTTTTCTTGCTCGCTTCCTTTCAGCTCATTGGCTTTGTACAACAGGGCACTTAACGTTTTACAAAGGAGGTCTGATTTCTTTCAGCTGCCCTCCAGTATGCCAGATACCAGACTTTCCCCAAACTGCCACATGGCTGTAAATGCTGCAAGTTCACTTCTCTGGTAGGAGCTCCTTTGCCCGGGCCTCTCCAAAATCCTTCTGCTAACCCTTCTGGGTCATTCATATGTCACTTACGGGGGCTTAGCATAAACACTGTAACTCTTACTTTAAAAAATGAGTACCCCTCTGTACAGGCAGCTTGCCAGAGGAGAGAGGAAAGAGTTACACTAATCGAAACAAGTAACTTTATTATCAATCTTCTTGCTCTATGTTGTAATTCTGGAGGTTGTTTTCAAAACTACAAGAAACTGCTTTTTTTTTTTTTTTTCCCCTTTGTTTTTCCCCTGTAATCCAAGCAAAACTGTAGAAACACAGTAGTATAACAGATGCAGACTTTCATGACAGTAATCATTTCTTGGATATTTAAACATTAGCTGATCAGCCTAGATACAGTGTGATTGTGGAGAGCATTTCTCATACCTGTACACCCTGACTAGGGCATATAAACTGCAGTACTGAAAAAGGATGCAGTTTAATCTGTGACATATCCTTTGCACAGCTGTGTCAGGGGCAGCCAGAACTGCTTTGTGCCCCAAAGCAGGTGCAGGAGAATACATTCAGAATAATGACCCAGTACTTCTTGCACTTGCTAGCAAAGAGATGATGGGAACTCTACTATTTACAGGGTAGTGCTTCAATCTTTGGACACATGGAGCAAACAAAAACCAATTTAGTCTCAAGCAGGGATAATAGAGGCTAGATCTGTATCTGAAAAAAAAAAAAGCCAAAAAAGGTCACAAGCTCTTGACCCTGTGCCAATGCTAAGAAAATGCTGTGCCTACATTGCTGCCTAGGACTGGATGCTGATGTGATGTGGCTTAGAGACAGGTTTTTGTCCAGCTTCTCTTCCAGTGCAGATCTTCAACAATACAAATGGCAAATTCTCCCAATATACCTACTTTATTATTTAGGTTCTAGCAGTTGAAAACACAGTCCGAGAAAAGACACAAGCTCTTGAATAGGACACCTTCCTTTATTCAGAGCACTGACAAACATCAGAATCTCTTACAGTAGTAATCTCTCACCTTTCTATATTCATACTGTTTTAAAAAAATGTGAAATGTACTCATAAAGTAAGACACTTATTTTGAGTACTCAGTAACCTTTGTTTTCTAGCTATATTGTCAACTTTATCTCATTTAACAAAACAAACATATGATATGACATCTTATGCTTCCAGGCATGTTTGTACACAGTGATTCAAACAGGAATATATCTATGAACATACTCTGTGTGTTACTTGCAGACTACCTCTGAGTTATTCCCTTTGTAATTACAGGCTTTCACTAAATGGCATGGAGAAGATGAATTAGGCCACATTTTCCAAGCAGTACATGCAACAATGCACAAGCCAATTTGAAAAACTGGCCTATAAAGGCTTGCAGTTCATTAAAGGAATTCTGTTACTTCACAATCTCCCCATCCATCACACTGAACTTTGTCCTTTTCCTTCTGACTTTGCGAAAGGCATTTGCTGCTGCCATGAAGAGCAGGGGCTACATGCAGGTACATAAGGGGCTCACAGGATTGCAGCTTCACCTCTGCCAGTGAGTGTGGGACAGACACAGCTCTGGGATAAGGAGGAGGAGAGAGAAAATAGAAGGTAGCAGGAAGCACCACCTTCTAGGTTTCCTTAGATTAAAAACTGGTAGGAAGAGAGCTACTGAAATAAAGTTTGAATAAGGGCCATGCCTGTAAACTTTTGTAATGCCCCAAAAAATCCACTTATTAGACTCTTAAAGAGAGTTTATGGCTGTTCATGTGCTCTGAGATTTTTCACAGAAACACAGATACAATATCCTCAAGAGGTCAAAACAACAAAAAAAATTCACTAGCAACTTCAGAAAATCAGAGAACTTTGGCAAAAGTTCAGAGCAGCAGTCAATCAACATAAAACACTTCACAAAGCATTAAATCAGTAAACTTCAAACCCATGTGGTTCTATGTTTCTTAAAACTCCAAGAGGAGGGAAATAAAAGAAGAAAAAAACA